AGAGACAGAGAGACAGAGAGACAGGGACAGAGAGACAGAGGAGACAGAGACGGAGACAGAGACAGACAGAGGAGACAGAGGCAGAGAGACAGAGACGGAGACAGAGACAGACAGAGGAGACAGAGGCAGAGAGACAGAGACAAACAAAACAAACAAACAAACAGAGCCCTAAACTAAACAGCAGCAGCAACGCATGCACTCACCAATCCCCCAGCAGCAACATTATCGGAGACACCTTCTCCAGGTGTATCTGCACCTCTAGACCCTAAACTGTCTCCATCGAGTAAAGGCCGCTGCTGCTTCTGAGTAGCTCCTCCCTCAGCAATGCGTCGCTCTGAGACCCACAAACCCTAAACCCTAAACCCTAAACCCTAAACCCTAAACCCTAAACCCTAAAACACCCTCCGCCATCTGCTGACGTCGGTTTGAGGGTCTGCAGGGCCGCCCATGAAGCCTGAAAGAATTCTGCAGCTATATGCACTAAGGGTTTAGGGTTTAGGGTTTAGGGTTTGTATGCACCTGCAGCAGCTTCTTCCTGCAGCAGCCGCAGCTGTCTCTCTTGCTGCCGCGTGAGAGGGCGAGAGGAGTCAAAGAACTCCTGCTGCAGCAGCAGCGCAGCAGATCTCCTTTCTAATATATTATCGGGGCCGTATACTGCAGCAGCAGCAGCAGCAAAGTCCACCAGCACTGGCAGCCTGCAGCAGCAGCAGCAGCACAAGCAGCAGCACAAGCAGCAAAAACAGCAAATCCACAACGTATACCAACACAGCAAGAAAGAGAAGCCGCTGCTGCTGCTACTGCTGCTGCTGCTGCTGCTGCAGGTAGTGCTGCTGATACTGTTGCTGGTGTTGCTGCTGCTGCTTCTGCGGCAGGCTGTGCTGCAGCTGGTGCTGCTGCAGATGGTGCTGTTGCAGCTGGTGCTTACTGGGAGTTGCTGCTGTTGCTGCTGCTGTTTGCTGCTTCTGCTGTTTGTTTTTGCGGTGTATCGGCAGCTTCAACCCACAACCCTGGGCGCATTCTGCATGCAGCAATAAAGACACAGTAAAAGACAAAAGGAGACAGTAAAAGACAGAAGGAGACACTAGAAGACAGAAGGAGACAGTAAACGACAGTAAAAGACAGAAGGAGACAGAAGGAAAGAGAAGCAGACTGAGGCCCCTGCAGCTGGCCCAAAGGGTCCCCGACTGCGGGCAGCAGCAGCAGCAGCAGCAGCAGCAGCAGCTAGCCCAGAAGCAGCAGCAGAGAGAGCAGAGAGCAGATAGGAGGAGACGGAGACAAACAGATATGAAACAAAGACGGAGACAGAACACACAACATATAACATGAAAACAGACAAACACAGGAGACAGGCCAGCAGCAGAAGCAGCAGCAGCAACACCAACAGCAGCAGCAGCAGCAGCAGCACCGAGAACAACAGCAGTAGCAGCAACAGCAACACCACCACCAACAACAGCAGCGACAGCAACAGCGCTAGCAGCAGCACCAACAACAGCAGCAGCAGCACCATCAACAACATCAACAGCAGCAGCAGCAGCAGCAGCAATGCACACCTGAACAATTCATATTTTGTCTCTACAGATTTTTCGCTGTTTCTTTCATCATCGCTGCAGTCGTTCTCTCCCTCTCCTTCTTCCTCGGTGTCGCTGCTCTCTGCTGCTGCTGCTGGGCTAGCTGCTGCTGCTGCTGCTGCTGCTGCTGCTGCAGATGCTGTTGTTGTTGATGCTCCTCCTCCTCCTCTTGCTGCTGCTGGGTGTCTGGAGGAGTTTGCTGCAGCTTCTGCGGCAGCACACTTTTCAGCGAATCAACCTGCATGGGAAGACAACTGCTGCTGTTGTTGCTGCTGCTGCTGTTGCTGCTGCTGCTGCTGCTGCTGCTGCTGCTGACGGTTGTGGTTCGCAGCAGCGGTGGTGTTGGCGTCTCCTGTTCT